ATCTGCATCAAATCTTCAAGGGCACCTTTGTTAAGCTCAACTAGGCTTCAATTAACATGCTGAAGATTGTGGAACCACAAATTGCATGGGAGTACCCCAACCTGAAGTAGGTAAATGGACTAATCTACAAGCCTAGGTATGGTAAAGTCAGCAAAAAGCAAATTGCCTTGACAGACAATGCACAGTCTCTTGGTAAATATGGCAATGTCTGCCTGGAGGATCTAATTCCAACTGTACAGTTGGAAAACACCTTAAGGAAGTGAATAACTTCCTGCAGACCAAATTATCTTCTCCATGACTTCTCCATGAGGTAGAATTAAAAAAAAACAAAAAAAAACTCATTTTGTGAATGGTGGAGATGCTGGCAATCAGGAAGACCAGACAAATAGGCGTGTGTGTGTGTGTGTGTGTGTGTGTGTGTGTGTGTGTGTGTGTGTGTGTGAACTAAAGGGTCCCCATGGTGTTTTTGTAATCTGATCAGTTAATAAATAGTAACAGCTTGGCAAATTGAAAGGAAAATAAAAATGACACTCCTTTTTCAAAATCATTAAGAATAGCCCCATGATTGCTGCAGCGAGGATTAAAGAGGCAGGTATACATCACTTGTCCAAGCCCACAGTGCACAGACCAGATAAGGCCTTGTTGTGTGCATCACAGAAACTGTGAAGAAGACTTTCTGTCTGGAAGATGAATGCCTGCTCTAATGTGACAAAGCCCTGAATGCTATGGAAAACTCTCACGGATATCAACATTCCATCTCACTGACAAGGCCAAGCTCAGGACAGTCTCCTGTTTAACCATCCAGCATACCATCTAACCAGGAACACCTACAGAGCGAAGCATTGGCCATATTCCTCGGCTGAATCAAGCCGACACCTTTACCAATCTCGGTGATCCGTTGTGGAGATGACACTAGACTAAATTTGAAACCACGGGATGGAGACTCGGTTCCACTCCCTCCTCACTAAGGCTCTAGGTTATGAACCTTCACTGAGCTGCAGTCGCGTCATCTGGGATGCTGCTAGGCTACTGCTGGTTCATTATCCTCTGTTCCACATTGGCTTCCGTCTCTCTTGTTTGGGCTGGATGAGTGAGGGTCTCCCCAGCACTGGGTCACAGCTTCATGCTAACTACCTCTTGGAATCCCTACATCAAATGAACGACAAATCTGAAACATTGGGAGGTGAATTAATGCTTATCAATGTAAAAGGTGAAGCAGAGCAGAAATCTGACTACCTGGGCCTAGCCATTATTTAAACCGCCTCTCAGAAGCAAGGGGTGAGCAGGGAGTATTTTCAGAGAAAATGTAGGCACGGCCTGGTGGCCAGCCTACCTGGCACCCTGCACTTCTAAGTAAGAAGCATGGCGCGCCATGCCCCAGAAGTCCTAACACTGAATTCTGAAGTCACTGGTAGCTGGCCTGCAGATGGGTCTGCTCTTTCTGTGTCTAATTTAATGTGCTTCTTCCACATGGAGACCCTGGTGGTGTGAGTGCCCAGTCCGAGGTAACGTGGTAACCAATCACAGTCCATAGGCTTCTACTATAGAAGCGGTTACTGCTCACATGCAATGAAGCCGAGGCCATTCTCTGAAACCATCTCCGGAGTGGTTTATCTCCGTGCCCTTTACCAACCTACGGGCATTACTGTCTATAGCTCAGGAGGAGGAGGAAGAGGAGGAGGACAATGATAAGGATGGGGGAGGGGTGGAGAGGGAAGAACAGCAGCATGTGGGCCTTGAGTGCCTGGAACTCATTAAACACGTATTTATCAAGCACACAGCTTCTTCCCTCTAGGAGGTTATAATTCCAATTCATAGCTTAGAGACGTACAAGGTCAAATTGCCACTTGCATCAACCCCAGAAGATTTTAATAAACCCTGGTCCATCAGCCAGTGGGGTGATATCCTCTGATATGACACAGACCAGAAAGGCCATATCTGTGGCTGGAATCTTCAACACCAGAGGGAGGGAGCTGTAGTCTTCACAGCCATACAGGCCATGCCGTACACCATCCTCTTCCCTGTAAGCCCTTTCCTTCGGTCCCTACTCCAGCAGTATTTAAAGAAAGAAACATCTATTTCCTTTCCTTTGGTCAGAAGGAAAAAATGCATTTTGTTTAGTCTGAAGTAAGTTTGGAACTATCCCTGGCAAAACGATACATTTTAAAATAACATAAAAGGTAGAAATTCAGGATTCCACGTCCTCCTGATATGCATAGCTCTGTGGTATTTAATTGCTTCCGCAGGCGGAGCCTAGGGTTGGCAAACTCTATCGCAGTTGTGTGATGTCGTTTTACATAAAGGGATCAGATGGAAAGCCATCTCCTCGCTCGGCCCTGTGCTCTTTCCTCTGTAAGCTTGCCCTTCTTTAGGCTAACTTTAATTCCCTGCCAGAAAAGAGAAGGATCCTGCCCTCTTTTCTTCCTCTCCGCCAAATTCTTATTGATCAGTTGGTAATGACTTAGGAAGAGCTTGATGAGACCGCCGTCTGGGCCTTCAGTGTCAAGATCAAGGAAGGCTTCTAAAGAGACGCCTTTCATCTTTTCCTAAGTCACTGCCTTAGGTAATCAGCTCGTGTCCAGAGGCAATGAGTCCCCCAGATGAGGTGCCGTGACTCAGGGAACTCTGGCCCGAGTTTTGTCAGCTCATTAAGGATACGGCCTGCCACAAGTGACTTTTGAACACACTAAGTAGGAAGAATCAAATGGTTTCTGTAGCGACAGGGTCAACTGGATCAGAGCCTGAGCCTGGAAATAAATCAGCGTCTGAAGAGGTAAACAACAAAAGAGACTGAAGACACATTGGTTACGGACCTGGGGCTTTCATCTGTCAGCCAGCAAGCTGCCAGCCCTCCTTTACAAACTCAGGCGGTGTTTGTGAGGTGGCGTCTTTCACAACGTGGCTTCTCGCCCATCTCTCGGTGAGCTCTTGAAGAGTTAGGACCTGATCGTGCATATTTTTATTCCATAGTTTGCAGCACATTCTCTTTCATATAGCAGGTGTTTGATGTGTGAAGAAATAAAAGAGGAAAGGAACAAAAACTCCATGTCCTGTCTCCCAGAAACATTTATAACGAGGCCCTTTGCTGTTCAGATTTCATAAAACCACAATAGAAAACACACCACGTTCGTGGGGAATAGCAACATTGGCAGATGGTGTAGGGGGGTGATAGGGATAAGAATGACTTTTGTTTAGGGACTACAGTGTCCCGATTTTCATGTATCACCTCATCTAATCACGATGATCTTATATGCGCGCTGTTCATATTATTCCTTTTTTAATGTGTCAAATAAAGAAATCAGGCTCTGAAAGCTGAACTTATTCAAAAGCCAGGTGGCTAATCACTAACCCTCCTGGAATTAAAAGCACCAATTCCAAGGCATGCTTTTCTTCATTTGATCAGTCTGTTTACCATGGGCAAATATACCTTTCTACAGCCAGTTTAACCATATTTGGTCAACAAGTGTTTCTATCAATCTGGTACCACCAGCATAAAGGACTCTTCTCCATGGTCACATTTTTTATTTTAAGGCTTTATTCTGGAAATGTCTTTTACCACAAAGATATAATAATTGGAAATAAATGCATTCTATTGGCTGAAATTACAAGGAAAGCAGTGTGTGTGTGTGTGTGTGTGTGTGTGTGTGTGTGTGTGTGTGTGTGTGTTTGTGTGTGTGTGTGTTTACACAAGTTTTGTTTTGTCTTGTTTTTTGAGATGGAATCTCTCTCTGTATCCCACACTGGTCTGGAACCCACTACATAAATCAGGATAGCCTCTAATTTATGGCAATCCTCCTGTCCCAGCTTCCCAAGTCCAAACACTACAGGCATAAGCCACCGTGCTGTCTTAGTTAGGGTTTCTATTGCTGTGAAGAGACGCCATGACCACAGCAACTCTTATAAAGGAAAGCATTTAATTGGTGGCTTACAGTTCAGAGGTTCAGTCCATTATCATCATGGCGGGGCATGACAGCATGCAGGCAGACGTGGTGCTGGAGAAGGAGCTGAGAGTTTTGCATCTTGCAGGCAACAGGAAGTGGTCTGTCTCACTGGGCATGACTTGAGCATACATGAGACCTCAAAGCCTGCCTCCACAGTAGCACATTTCCTCCAAAAGGACCACACCCACTCCAACAAAGCCACACCTCCAAATCGTGCCACTCCCTTTGGGGGCTACTTTCCTTGAAACCACCACACACACGCCCAGCTCTTATTAAATATCTCAAGCAATAGTTTTCAAGACATTGAGCATCAGTCAGTAAGACAATGGGACCCCAAAGAGTTGGCAAACAAATATCAGGAGCTCCTGGGAGGCTTCAGCTTCCTGCTCTGAGAGAAAGTGTCCAGAAAACACTCGGAGAATGACTTGCCCATGTTACACATACATACGTGAAATCAAAACACTCAGCACATAAAATTTTTTTAAAAATTTTAAAATATATATATATATATATATATATATATATATATATATATATATATATAGAGAGAGAGAGAGAGAGAGAGAGAGAGATTACATAACTAATTTTTTTGAGGCTCCAAAGCATTCAGCATTTCCCTCTGCAGAATTATTTTTAAAAAAGAACCATGGCTGGAATTTAATAATAATGAATCATCAGTAAATTAGGGAGCATGACTTTCTCTTTTTCACTGAATTTACAGACTGCCCACGCTGAGAAGCAAACCCGGAAGCCCTGAGCAAGACAAATGTGCCTCAGCTTTTCTATGCCGACATGCCAGGACCAGTGGATCGCTGGTGTCTTTATCAATACAGACCGAGATCCGATCAGCTGATCTGATGGAGTTCCTGGAGTGGCTAAGGACTGAGTGGCTTCGGGCTCAACTACAGTGACTCACGCCCTAGACGGTCCCAGGTGGAGACAAAAGGCAGGTTTTAAAAAAATCTCAGGCAGTTTTTAAAACTACTTGGGGAAAATAAAACTATTGGGGGAAAAAATAATAGTTGCTACCACCTTTTGTACAACTCAGATCAAATCCAGAAGCCTGTATACAGAAAATTAAACAAAACACCACAGTCAGTTCTGTGTACTTTCCATCACACTCATTCATTTGTTCCCTCTATGACACGGTTTCCATTCTGTTCTTCCGTTGATATATGTCTCCGCGTTGATCTCCTCCTCCTCTTCCATTTCTCCTTCTGAGAAATGTTGCCTCCATGTATCCCCAGGCTGTTCTTGAGCTCACAACAGCCTTCCTGCCTCAGCCTCCCAGGTAAAGTGCTGTCCTGGGCAGTGGAGAGAAAAAACAAGTTTTCAGAACAGGAATTACCTCTTTCCCTATAGACCTAATAATCCTAGGTTCTCAGTACTGGTCTTATTGGCTTTATTTTCTAAGAGAGGGAGAGAGAGGGAGGGAAGGAGGGAGACAGAGACAGAGACAGAAAAACAGACAGAGACACACACACACTATATATATATATATATATATATATATAGTGTGTATATGTATATATAGAGAGAGGGGGAGAGAGAGAGAGAGAGAGAGAGAGAGAGAGA